CACTGTGACGTCACCTAGCTGTCCCTGAGACCTTTATGCTTCAATGCTCTCTGCAAAATTCTCCTCCTCCTTGCTCCCGTGAAATGTGGGTACCCTCTGACCCTCTGGCTTGGGTACCAATGGGTACAGTCATCACCTCTGTTCAGATACGGCCCTGAGCCGCCTCCAGAAGCCTGGCAAACCCACCAACACATCTCTGCCTAGACGTCCTGTCAGTGTCTCCATGTTGACATGTCAAGAAGAGTGTTCTTCTGTCCACCCAAACTCGACCCGCCTCCAAATGCCGCCATTTCCGCCCTGGACCCCAGTCCTTTCCAGCTCCTAGGTTTACAAAGTGGGAGTTCACCTCACCAGACAATTTCCTCCCCTGGCCGAGACCTGTCAAAGTGATCACTGTGCCCGCCCGCCCACTCATCGCCTGCCACAGAGGCTCAGGTCCCTAATGTTTCCTGCTTTCAGCTCCTCCCTCTTCTACCCCATCCTTCATGCAGCTGCTAATCATGCCCCACTCCACCTTCATGGCGCCTTCCTGCTTCTAGAGTAATATCTAAAGATTGAGAGGCACCACTGCCTACTGGTTAGAGAGCAGGCCTTAATGTCACAAAGACCGCAGCTCAAGGTCTACCTGGGATGTATACTGGTTGGAGGACTCTGGGAAAATTGCTTCCATTTTCAGCATCCCAGGAAACACCTGAATCAATCACTCCAATCACTTAATTAGCATGTATCCAGTGTTTACTATGACCTAGGTAACGTGCTGGATCCTTGAGAAAAATGAAAAAATATTCATACCTGCACAAAATCAATACAAGAAAGTTACGGGAGGGAAGACACAGGAGCTCGGGGAATCAGGAAAGGCTTCTATCGAAGGGAGTATCTGGAGGAAATGAGGCCTTTTAAGAGTTGGAAGTGTTAAAGGAGTGTGCTCCAGGCCTGGGACACCAACAGCAAAGGTGTGGAGATGGGAGATGGGGTGGTGTGTGAGTGGAGGAAGGGGCAGAGTAGATGAGACTGGAAAGGGAGCTGGTGCTTTAAATACTTTCATCTCTGAATGGGAGCTGCCTCAGACAAGCTGAGACCTCTTAAAGACCTCAGCTTAAAAAGGTCAAGGTCTCCCACTGCATGGGGGGTGGGGGGGCCTCTCCAGCTGTCCTGGATATCTGACCAGTGGACCCAGACTTCTCTCCAAAAGAGAAAGTGAGGCTGGTGACTGTGCACAGCCCTGCCTCGCTTAAATCCAATTCACTGGCAAGTCATGACATCACTCTCCTGAGGTCTTGGTCCTCTTTGAGAACAGAGGAAGGACAAAGGGACAGTTCTGCCACATCACCCCCCCCAATAATGGGGCACTGGTGATTAACCCCTAAAAGGCCCTAGACTTTCCCACGTGGCCCAGGTCCTTGGCATTTGCCTGAGGCTCATCTCAGTAGAATCCTTTCAACCGGCCTTTCATTGTGGCTTTGACCCTGCCCCACTCTATTCTCTGTTACCCCTAACCTAGCCCAGTCCTCCACTGTCTGCTACCTCCAGGTGGCCTGGCCAATTCCTACCTTTAATTCCATCTAGACCCCTTCTCTGTTACCCCCCAGTCACCCCAGACTACTCAGCCACTGCTCGATCACATCCAGATTTTCCCACAGTCTTTCTGTAAAAAAGGTCCATCTCGCCTCCATTAATGTGCTCAGTTTCGGCCAATAGCACAGACTCACTAGGAATCTCGCCCACCCCACCTGGTGTTTTAATAAACCTTGTCTCTGACTGAAAGAAGACTTGAGTTGAATTCTTTCGGGGCAGGACCGTTCCTTCTGCCCTTGAATTTCGGGGTTGCCATCAGCCCTAGACCTCAACACTATGGCCTCTAGAAAAACCCCAAAAGCATCAAGCTGCCATCTAAAGGCCACCACAATGAGACTGACACCAACCCCTCCCAACTTTCACCTCACCTCCCCAAGGACTTTCTGTCCCAGTCAAACTGGCCTACTACCCATGTGCCACCATAACATCCTACATGCTTCCTGTCCCCTCAAAAAAGAAATTCCCTAAATATTTATTTTTGACAACTTACAACTACACTTTTGCAAAAACAAAAAAAAATCAAATACAATAAGATTATTTAGCTTACCTGAGGGTATGTAGGATTTAAATCTTGTGGATAATCTGTCAACAAAGGCACTTAAAATTTCTAATCCAAGTAATGCCACCTGTAGGAAAAAAAACAAACAAACCCCAAAACATTAGTGGCTACAAGGAAAACTGTAAGTGCTCCAAAAGAGCACATTCAAAATACAATTACAGATTTGAATTAATTCGACTTCCCACATTTACCAAGGTTTTTCAAAAACCAAGATCAATATTTGATTTAATCTAAACTACATTTGTCAGGCTTAAAGATTCCTTTAGAAGGAAAAGTTCAATAGAATTCTTAAAGTCACAGATTTCTGTCTCCACTGGTTCATTTACATGACGAGCTATTGTAACAGTGTAGATTATGGAAAGACTGGTTCAGGCCCAAGCCCTGTCCTTAATTCTATGTGAGACCTTACAATAGTAAAACCAAACTACCCCCTAAAAGGGGGGTACCATGACCCACAGCCACCCTAGGCATAAGAGCTGGACCCCACATCGGCTAACCTTCCCAAAACAGGGGCAACGTCAGCACCTGAATCCCGAAGGGCGGGGCAGGGAGGAGAACAAAAAGGAATTCAAGCAGACAGCAAGAGCCCACCCCTGGGTCTCCAGTGCCTACAAATCCTCAGTTACAGGACGGCCCAGATCCCAACACACAAGAGGAGCAAAAATGAGGGGCCTGAAGAGGCAAGGATGAAGAAGGGTGCACATCTGAAGGGACCATTGGGGGGAAATCCAACTAACGGGACCCAAAGCGCAACCCCACCAGCCAGCGCAGAAGATGCAGGGGCAAAGGGCTGAAGGGAGGGGAATGCTCCCTCCAGTCTGAGTAAAGACAGCCCAAAACTGTGGAACTTAGAGAATGAAATGCCAATTGGAAGAATTCAGACTGCCTCCAGGAAAAAAGAAAAACACCCCAGGCTGCAAATTCCAAGACACAGTGTCTTTCAATTTAACAATTCAATTCAGAAGCAATGCTGAGAGCTGAGCCGGTGGCAGAAAGACCTTCAAAGACAAAGGAGAGGACATTTGAATAAAGCCAGACTATTTTGCACCCACTAGAAAACACAGAAGGGAAGAGAAGAATGTGTTGGGAAGAACAAATGGGGCCAAGAATGTAACCCAGGGTGACCTAGGGTGGGAATCTGAACTTCACCACCCAGGACAAAAGATGGACGTTCAATAATGAAGAAGAGTCTGAGACATTTTTAGAAAGAACACAAGGACTGAGGAGCATCTGCTTCTCAGACATTCCAAACAAGACAGAGGGCAATGGGGGCAACAGCGATAAAGGGGATAAAGGAACACCAGAGAGACCACAGAGACCAGACAGACGCCCCAAGGCACCACTCATGGCACGGCGCTAGGAATGGATCCAACCACCCTGGAAAGCCATTTGGAAATCTGCCCATCCCTACAGGTTCCACAGGCAGGCACGCACTCCAAGGAAGCCAAGGGTAAAAAGAAAGGTCCAAAATACAACACAATTACTTTGGAACCATACTTTTTATGTTGACAAAGAACTGGAAACAAGGCAAACATCCATTAATTGGGGAATGGCCAAACAGACTGTGGAACATAAATATGATGAAATAGTACCAAACTAAGAAACAACAAATATGGAAAATTCTTATTTATATGGACCAGAGCAAATTGAGGTAAACAGAACCAGAAAAACAACATATAGTATGACAACAATATGAAGAGAAAAAGAAAGAACAAAAGAGAGAGATGGGAAAAAAAAAAGAAAGAACAAGGAAAGAGAGGCTATGGAATTACAGTGACTGTGATGGACAAAGATGACAGCTCACCCAGTCCAGTCACAAGTGTGTGGTACAGCGACTCTAACACAATTAAACTCAGAGACTTCTCAAGGAAGCAAAAATTACTCTTTATTACAATCTCGCGAGAAGGGGCGTCTACTCCTCTAGTACACTACCAGCAGAAGAGAGGCAGGCACAAAGGACAAAGCAAGGTTATATATCTTAACCAAAAAAGAAACTCCCACCCCGCCACTATCCCTTACTCCCATTGGCTGGGAGACGGGCTTACATTCTAGGCGCGAAAATCTTTCTCATTCCCAAAGAACGAGGAAACAGGGTACAGCCAATCCAAATATATATGTCCTTATTTAGTATACCTAATGCTGACATGGCAGAGGCAATCAGGAGAGGGTTTAGGGCCGAATTAAACTTATGGCCTGTTCGTTCTCTCAGAGCCTATCTCTAGTTTCCAGACAGTCTTTTCATCACCACCCTGAGAAGTCTTCACAGAGGTTATATCTCATTCATAAGGAACAGCAAGTTTCAGCCCCTCTTCTAAACCGATGTTTAGACTCTGCCTTTTACCCTCCCATCCACACTACTGCCCCTTACCCCAAAAAGAATTTGGGTCCCATTTGTCTCTGAGCCCTAGAAAACCCCACCTTGGACTCTCCTTGAACTCCCACTTGATCAAGGAAGTCTTTAGCCTTCATCTGAGGCTATAGTTGTATCAATTAGCCTTTCATTATTGCCTATGCCAATCTCCCAATTTTCTTGTTACCCTTAACCTAGCCCAGCCTTCCAGTGTCTCTTACCTCACGATGCCCTCCTACTTCCCACTTCTGATCTTATCTAGACCCCATTCTATTTCCCAGTCACTCCCATGCAGATCCTCCCTAGACCCCTCCTCCAGTCACCCCAAACTACTAGGCCACTCCTAGATCCCTCCCATAGTCTTTCTGTATATAAGGTCCATCTGGCCTCCATTAAGGGGATCGGATTCTTTAACAGTCTAGCCAAATGCTCAGATTCTTAAAATCTAGTCAATGGCTGAGATTTACTTTAGCCCACTTGTCAATACGAGGGTCACAAATGTTTAGATTCCTTAAGAGTCTGGCCAACATGGCGAATCTTTAATAAACCTTGTCTTTGGCTGAAAGAAGGTTTGGGTTGAATTCATTTGGGCAAGACCCGTATCTTGCTATTTTGGAGTCCCAGCACCTTTAAGCCTAAACCTCAACACTACTACACCTAAAAGACAGGTGAAAGGTTTCAGTGAAAACAAGGAATATTTGTAAAACTCTCGGAACAAACAAATCCAACCCAGGACTCGTGCTTGTCTTCGTAGCTCCTTCAGTATCATTTGAAGACATCATGGTTCTGAGGGCCCTGGTTTCTTTTCTTCCTATTAAAATGTTAGCACTACATCATCTGGCAGGTCCTTCTAATTACTCAGGTAGATCAACCTCTCCAGGCTACTCTGAACTCCTGTGTGTGTTTGCATTTCAAAGATCCTAGGCACTCTGGCCTTCTCATCAGAAAAGCCTGAAAGTCCTCAACTCAACTCAAAGTAATTTTTCCCCATAAGAATATTCTCAGCTTTGCAGAGTCAGTTATTCTTGGTTATAAGCCTTAATCTTTTACCTCTTGTAACTGTGTTCCTAGATCTCCGTTCCTCACCTATGGAAGCTACCTGGTTTCCTGTCATCCTGGCTGTACTTAACTGCTTCTTTCTAAATGTTTACAGCATTTTCACTTTAACCTGGGAGCCACAGATTTGAGCTAGGACATTCCTAGGACTTTTTCCTTTGGGGGTTCCCCTTCAGGGGACCAGGAGATTCTTTCTATCCCCACTTTGGCCTCTGGTTCTAAATAATTTTTGTTTATAATTTCTGGAGATATAGCAACCAGGCCTTTTTAAGTCATGGTTTCATGGAGTCCTCTTCATGTGACACAGAGGTGAAGACAAAAAGTAGAAGGCATCTCAGTGATGTGAGATGAGAATGAGAAATGTATTTTCAAAACAAGCCAGAGCTTTTGCCTTACACTTAGCAGACTGGCAAAGATGACAAAAGATAAGGATTACCAAAACTAGGGGGAATCATGGAAAGACAACCCACCAATGCTTTGGTGGTGGAGCTGTGAATGAGTACAACCTTTCTGGAAAGCAATTTGGAATTAGGCAAAGTGGCTAAAATGTCTATACTCTAATGATAGGAAAGGCATCTAAACCCCTAAAAAGAAAAGACCATGTCTTTGAATGCAACCTAGTGCCTGAATTTTCCTCTACATTTCAGTAGCCCAGATCACTGGTACCTCTGCCCAAGGCATCTGGCCCACCCCAGCCCACCTTGATTACTAAATTAGCTTATTTGACACTCTTTAATCACTTCTAGACCCTTGCCTCTGGACTACGCCAGGCTATTTGTCACTCCTTGATACCATCCAGATTTTCTCACAGTGTTTCTGTATAAAAATATCAGTCTATCCTCATGGAATGCACAGATTTTTAAAATCTGTCCCACTTGTATTGGCGTCACAAATATGGTAGACTCACTAGGAAAATTGCCCACCCAACCAATGTCTTAATAAACTCACTACGTGGACTGAAAGAAGATATGAGTGGTCGAATTCTTTCAAGGAAGACCCCTCTCCCTGTACCCCTGCATTTCAGGGTTCCTAGTACCCCAAACTGCAACACTATGACAGAGATTCTGCTGCTAGGCATATATCCTAGGGAGTTAATGACAAAAAGAAGAGTCTATGTGCACCAAAATGTTTAAACTGCATTTTTTGTTGCAATAAAGATCTGAAACAAAACAGTTGGCATGGCTAAACAAATTGTGGTAAGTGAACAAAATGGAACATTACTGTGCTGTAAGAAACAAAGAAAAAAATGACTAAAGAGAAGCGTAGGTAGTCTTGCAAAGAGAGTAAACAGTCAAGAAAACAACACGTATGTTGAATACAACAGCATAAATGGAAAGAACTACAAAGCAACGGAGCAGAAATCCTGTGAAAATACAAAGCCCAAACGCTGAGAAAGAGATAAGACATCCTGACGGACTCCTTTGGGGAAGAGGGGAAGGGAAGGCATCCTATGGCTGTGTAGCTCTGACACAGGCTAGCTCTGTGACCCTGTAAAATAACAGCATCTCCCTGCTGGGATATCTGAAAAGCGTTCAGCACAGTGCCTGGCACATAGTAGGTGCTGTATAAATGCTTATCCCCCCTCACCCCAGTAGCTCCTTCTCCCCATGGCTCTAGGAAATTACAGATGTCAGAAGTTTCTAATGTACTAATTAATTTTG